ACAGAAACAAAAATCCTAGAAACATACAACTGACAAATTCTAAAGAGCATCTGAAAATCTCATGCTATCTCACTCTTTCCTACCTCAGCTATGAATCATACCTTTGTCTTGTGTGTACACACGGTATTTGCTGACCCGCAAGTCACTCAGCAGCCATCTTGGCTCTCAGATCCACTGCCGTCCTTTTGTAGTTGCGTATGCTGAAGAATCCTATCTTATTTCATCAACGTCCCAAAGCACCAATGTTTATTACAACATAGCGTCATAATTTTCAAGTATTATTCTGCGTAATCTAAAGATAACACTTCTCATGTGTATGTGTGCATAGAAAAAATGTAGTATTCATTAGATTCAGAACTATTTGCATTTTCAGGGGCGTACCTTGAAGCATCCCCCATTAAGCTGAGGAATGACCAGGGTATCAGCATACACCAAGACACATACAGAGTGGCATCTGTTGTTTAACATGTTACACATTCAATAGGAATCAGATGATTCACTGCCCAGTTCCCCAGTGACACGCACTGTGGCAGAGATGTACCACTTAAATCACTTCTACTGCGAGATGGGTAAGTGCTGGTCGTTCACGCCCCAGACAGGGTTCTACTGAGAGACCTTTCATATACACTCCTGTCCTTATCTCCACCATTTTCCAGTTTGGAGTTGTCATCAAGGGCCCCCTCTGTCCCCAGTCCCCATCTGTTCTCTGGTTCTTTCTGCTCCATGCCTTCCCTATCCACAGGTCTTTCTTCAGTTTCTCCACGGCCTCACGCCAGCTGCCCCTTTTCAACAGCCCAGGTCATCTCCCTGTTCACTCCAGCCACTCTTTGTGCTTTGGATATCAACTTATCTTTGAATGCTCCATTAAGGCTAAGTCATGTCTACCTTGATCCCTTCCATGTCTACAGTGCTTAACGCTGTATGCACACATCATGTGTCAAGCAAACGAGTGTGTGACGAATGATTGAATGAGACGCCAATAAGAGGAACGTGGTCTTTAGCCTCACAACCCAAAAGCCATGGCTTCATTCTGGACTGGCCACACCCTAGGGTACCCTAAGTTCCGTAGGGGATTTTGAGAATTCACATTTCAGTAACACCCTATTGATTTTAGAGATGCCCTTCTACGTGGCTGTGGGGAGAAAATGCTTTGCATAAGGAACAGAGAACAGCAGAAACCCTCAGGATGTCAGCTCTGAGTTACCACACCACTAGGCCCACATAACGCTGCCTGCGCCCCGCCTCCTTGGAGGGATTTATTCTGGTAAGCTTTGGCTCACTACCATGCCTGCTTTTCTGCACAGCAGCCTGGGGGGTCATGGCTAAAGGCTCCTTTCCTCCTACCTGTTGATTGTGTCATGGAGGAGACTAGGTGCTATTCAAATACCACATGCTCCATATGGCAGTGTCTTGACCAGCAGCTACATGCAGGCTTCCTACATACGTGCATGAGGTGCCTCATCCAAACTGTTCATAGGATACGTAGTTGTCAGTACACATATTATTTTTGCCCTCTTTCCCATGAATTTTGTGATTCCTTTCAGCCCGATACACAAGCTTGCCTAAAATACATGTTTTGTTTTCTTCTGTATTCTCACCATCACCTAAGAGAGAGCCACTTATGACCATTAAAGAGGCAGTCTTCAGCTGAAATGCCTTAATTGGTAATTTAGATGTTTCTCTTCTGCTAAGTACAAAGCTTCCTAAATAAGACTGGAAATTAAGGCCCCGGTGAATTCAATGCCAACATACGCAAACCAGCTGTAGAAGTCCCAGTGAAAATCAGTGGCTGAAGGCATCCAAGAGGCCTTGTGTTTGTCTAATTCAACAACAACAACAACAAAAAAAAAAAAAAAAAAAAACAAAACAAAACACTTTTGGCCCTTCTTCCTCCCACTTTTCAGTCTTAATATATGGCCACAGGGTGGAGCGACTCGGGAACCAGCTTCCTACATCTCTGCCTCTTCCTTGTTTATTTGAGATTTTGTGTATTTTTATTTCACATGTATGGGCAATTCGCTTGTGTGCATATGTTTGTGTACCAAGTGTGTGCAGTGCCCCCAGAGGCCAGAAGAGGGTGTCAGATCTCCTGGGATGGGAGTTACATACTGTTTTGAGCCACCATGTGGGTTCTGGGAAGAACAGCCAGTGCTCTTAGCTACTGAGCCATCTTCTCCAGCTCATCTGCCTTTCCATTTTGCACCTTTAGGCTGGAGCACACGTTGCCAAGAATTAAGGAGGGAGCTCTTCCCCATACCTTTCCATTCATTTGATTCATGAAATAAATCTTGTTCAATGACAGGAGAAGAACAAGAGTCAAGTGAATCAGTTCACTCATGGCTCCGGAAGGTGAGGGACTCCTGCCCTGTAGTTCACAAAAGACCCTAAGCCTTCCTGCCCTGAGTCACTTTCTGTACCAATGCCAGGCAGCCTGGGTAGGAATGAGAATCCATTATTCAGGACTGGCAGGATTGATGCTTGGATGCCCTAGCCAGCAGACAGTAGTAATCTTAAACCCTGTGGAAAATGGATCTCTTCCTTGAAGACATTCAGTGCATAGTCTCTGCTGGACAGCACTGACCCAGTACCTGGTAATAAAGCTACGAAATCCCTTCAGACACCAGGGATGCATGAGAGGAAGGAAGGAAGAATAACTGGGAAAGGCAGAGTCCCACTGTGTTTAGCACCATACTTTATATGTGTTTGCTTCTATCATGATCTTTTTTCTTTTTAATGGACTTTAATGTCTGTTTCTCTGTAAGTGTGTATGTGCAGTGTAAGTGTGGGTATGTGCCCACAGGGGCCAGCCGAGGATGTCAGGTGTTTTCTACTCTCCAGCCATCCCTTTGAGGCAGGGTCTCTCCCTGAACCTAGGGTTTGTACCTTCTTGACTAGGCTGAAATCCTGTCTCAGCCATTCTCAGAGCTGATACTACAGGCATTTTCCAGAATGCCTGGTTTATTATATGGACGCTGGGATCCGAACTGTGGTCCTCATGATGGTGGAACACTCTTAATTGCTGAGCCAGCCTCTACAGCTCCCATTTTCTCTTTTGTTGTTGGTCTTTTTCTCTGCTTTCTTGAGAAAAGGTCTCATTCGAGGGAGCCAGACCTCGAATTCCTGATCCTCCTACCCCTGGGTGCTGTGTTCATAGTGTGCACACCGTACTGGCTCACAGTCAATCATTTCCTAGTATCAATAAATGTCCTATCAACACGAGACTTTAAGGAGAATAAACTTGCCATACAGTCACATGAAGCATTGCCTCATGCAATGGGCGCCATTTTTATTTACATTTTAACAAATGCAAATTAAAATATCATCCCTGAGAAAAGGGCAGGGCTACCTCTGAGCCTCTATAGTGAGCCAAGGGATCAGTAGCCTCTATGTCCTACAAGGCAACCAAGTGCCTGATACTGACTGAAGCATATAGCATGTCTTCACATGTTAGATAGTCATAAACATTTTAATAATGAGAAGCCCAGTTTCAGATTGCTTCTCCTGAAGGCTGTTTATGAAATAGCTCCTATTCTTTTTAAGCACTGAGAAACAAACAAACAAACAAACAAAAAAAAACAAACTTCACTTTTCCCTGGAAAATGTTGGCTATTCAGTGATTTCACAATTGTCTAAAAATACTTGGCTGGAAAGAAAGCTCTCACAATCCCCTGGGGCTCTCACACTCCTTGATTTAGTCTTATTTCTGAAATGTCCAAATCTGGCAAGTTTCAAGTGTGCTTCTGTCTACAGAAGGTGAGTTCTAGAAAGCAGCCAGATCTGCGAGCGAATCCCCTCCTCTATGTGCACATGTCCCCTCACACACCACATGGGGACACACAGGTCATTTCTCCTTGTCGGTGAGAAAAGCAAGCACGCTCTCTGCTTCCAGGGCTCTCGGCATCCAGGACTTTGAGGACAGAGATCTGCTTCTACGTCTCTTCTGAAAACAGAGCCTGCTACCATTTGATTGGAAAGTCACTTAGAAATGTGTACTTAAACTCTTCAGATCTGAAAACTCTCCCACTCAGCGGTTCACTAAGAGGCCACTGTCCCAAGGAAGCCATTAATAATGGGAACTACTATAGTTTCCAAGAACTTTCTGATAGCATGAAAGTTAAATATATAAATATATAAACAACCATAATTACATAGTTTATATACTTATACTATATATATAGTTTAATATATACACACACATACACAGAATTCAATTCCAGATGATCAAGTAAAAGAAATTTCAATGTATCTGCTTCTTGGAAAATTATATAATCAGAGGAAGTCACATACTTTTGAACAATGTTGACTGTGAAGAGAAGCAAGCATCAGATGACATTCTGTATTATGCCATCTGATGGTTTTCTCAGCAGCTGAATATAACCACCAGAGTTATCCCTGGCTTATCACTGTCCTGGGATCTTATCAGTCACCTCAAAATAAGTACAAATTATGTTTTCATGCTAAAATGAAAGGGGACTTGACTGAGGAGCTAGATGGCTCAGTGGACAAACCACTTTTTGCGCAAAAATAAAGGACCAGAGTTCAGATCTCTGAGTTCAGCTCCTAGGCAGCTGGGCAGGGTGACAGAGACAGAGGTTCCCCTGAGCAAGCTCGAGGCTATAGCTGGCTGGCTGGGTCCAGTTGAGACGGTGCCTCGGTACATAAGGTGGACAGTGATTGAGGGAGACTTCCAATGTCGCGCTCTGGGCTTTACATGCACACAAACGTGCACTGCACAAGCACATCAGCTCACACACATGTGAGCATGCCCCCACACAAGCATGCACACCACAGATACATATGGATAATATATAGATCCATAGATATGCCATCCCTGCGTGCTTGTGTACTGTGTGTGTGTACACCTGTGTCTGTGCGCCCATGCGTGTATACTGTGCACCCTGTGCATCTTCATGGGAAGCTACTGATGTGTGCCCCCTACCGTCTTAAGATGTCGAGACTAAATGACAATGATTTTGACTATAGGCTTTGGACCCACTCACCTGTACCACTGGCCTTCATCCCAGTGAGAAGCCACAGGCAGCCACTCCCTTCCCCGGGGACCTTTTCTTGAAGAGTTTGCTTGAATAGACGGGGTGGCTGTCGAGAAACTCAGGGTAAGAGGCCTGAACCTGTGGGTATAAAAACAAGACGGATGGTTAGGCCGCCTTATGACTAATTAACACAATCTGAAGTCACCGAAAAGATAAATACCCACAACAAACCCTACACACATCACAATTTAAAAAAAAATCATTTTTTTTTTAAATAAAAAAGGATTAACTAAACTAACAGATAAATCCTCCTCCCCTGCCTTGATTCTGGTATTGTAGGGAAACACGAGGTTGTGCACTCACTCTCAGAAGTTCTCAGGATCGTGCTGAACTGGAACGTCGGGACTGAAATTCTCCTAAAGATGTATTCATTTTTATTTTATGCATGAGTGTTTTGCCTGCATGTAGGTACGTGTAGTGAGTGTGTGTGTGTGTGTGTGTGGTACCTGCAGAAGCCAGAAGAGGGTGCTGGAGACCTGGAGCCTGGAGCTATAGATTGCTGTAGCCTGGCATGCCAGTGGGCATGGAAAACCAGCCCAAGCTGGCCCTCCCTACAGGTACTGGTCCGCATTTCAGGCAGGCAGCCTGTCCCTCCTGCCCTGTCCTCCATCTCCTGTTTTATTGTAACTCTCATTCCCACGTGCCCTTGAGTTCCCGCCTTGAATTTGTCGAAACCGAAGTATCAAGGCTGTGACAGGCTGCCTGCCTGCGTACCCGTGACATCATTGCCCACTTGCCAACCCCTGCCTCACTAGCTCCAAAGACTACATGTTTCTCAAGAAAAGATCAGTGGGCTGCCAAGGAAAAAGCTTTTCATAATCACGTCTTTGGCAAATGACCCACTGCGGAAGCATTAGTCACTGTTGGGACAATAAAGACAGATTTTCTGAGAGGTCACGGAGCCTGCTCTGGCGAATTTTCTTTCCTCCACGCTGCAAGGTTTCCTAGGCTTTAAGCAGGAATAAAGGCAGCAGGCTGTCCTACACAACCCCCTCCCTGGAGCTCCTAGCGACAGCCTCCCCTTTGACCTCTTTCTAGCCACGAACCCAGGGACTTCACTGTGTGATCCCAGTTTCTAACCATCCTGTGTGAGCTTCAGACTCTGCATCTATGAGGGCAGGGAAGACTGGCTGCTTGGTCAAGTGCTTGCTGTGCATTTACAAGAAGACTTACATTTCATCCTCAGAAACCACAAAAAGAAAAAAGAAAAAAAGCCATGTAAGATGCATGATTTTAATCCCAGTACTGGGGTAGAATCATCAGATCCTTGGGGCTTAGTGGGCAACCAAGCCCTAGCCTACTTGACTAGTGCTGAACCTGAGCGATCTTGTCTCAAAGAACAAGGTTGACAGGTCTGAAGAACAACATTGGAGGCTGATCTCTGTCCTCCACACGTGCATGCACACATGTGCGCCCAAACTTGCACACACATATACACACAAGAGACTATCATATGTACCTAATCTAGCCTAGGCTGGTCCCTGACTTCCTACACAAATGTCCAGATACTTGTCATCCTCCCGCCTCTGCATGCTGAGTGCTGAGATAACCGGCATGTGGCAGCATATCTGGATTATAGGCTGGATCCGGGGCTTCATAAACGCTAAGCAAAAGCTCTACCGGCGGAGGGACAGCTCAGCTCGTGAAATGCATTACCTGACTGCATCATGCTATACCAGTCTCCTGCAACTAGATTCCCCACAACGTTTTTGTTAAGATTTACCAAGTTCGTTGTAGATGACGCGAGTTTGCTCATTTCCACTATGTAATATTTCATTGTGTTGTTAAACTGAATCAGTTTGGCTTAAACTTGGCTTTGTACTAGGGTGGTAAAATCTGGCCCAGCACAGCCTTTTGCACATGATACAACTGTATCCTAACTTGATATATAAACAAGTTATAATCTAATCTAGGAGTAGAGTGGAAGCATATAACCAAGCAACCAAGTCTTAGCCAATCCCAAGAGTCAAGGTTTAGCCAATCATAGGCTACCAACTGATCAGGCCACATCTACATAAGGCCGATGGCAGCTGCAGCCAATCAGCTCCTGCCTTTATATCACTTCCTTTTTGTAGGCTATTAATATAACCTGTAAATGCAGCCGGGTGGAGCGTTCCAAACCATCTTTGTTCTGGAACGCTGCCCGGTTCTAGAACCTTTTTTCCTTGCTTAAGTAAACTTTGTTAAATTTAACTCATGTCAGTTTTTCTTTTAACAGTTCCACAGTGTGAAAATATATATGTGTATATATATACACACACACACACACACATATATATCCTTCTATTGACGGACTTTCACATTTTCCCAGCTTCCATTTCTTTCCCTGTTAGAAACATGCTGTGTCTATTAGAAGCAAAACGCAGAAGCACACATTTGCCCGGGGTTCAGCTTGGGAGTATGTGAATATACACTGTTTCACAGTAGTATCCAAGTAGTTTCCAAAATGAATGTATCAGTCTACATTCCTGCCAGTAGCAAGCTCCATGTTTTCAAATTGACCAGTCATTTTAGAGGCAAGAAAATGGACATCATCTGCAGCCAGCGTATTTGTTTGCGAAGGGGAAGTTTTAAAAAAATATACCGTGGCTTTTTCTTTTTTTTCCTTACATTTTATTCACCATTAAGGAATGAGTTACTTGCTAGGACAGGTTTATTTTACCACTTTGCAAAGTGACATTAGCTAATGACTTGGAAGGAAATGAGAGTGAAAATGCTGAGGGTCCCACATGGCTTTATTTCTCAATCATTCAATTTGTAAGGTGGTACTGAAGCATAATCTAATAGACCAGCCTTGCGGTTCAGGCATGGAATCCTAGCACATGGAAGGTAGAGGCAGAGAGATCAGAAGTTTAAGAACATCTTAAGTCACAATACAAGGTCCCAGGACAACCTGGCCTCTATGGGATGCCATCTCAATACCCCCCCCCAAACTAACCCAAAACAAACAAACAAATAACAAAATAACTAAAACTAAGAAGATTTTTCTAAGACATATGAAACTTTAGGACCAACACTGCCCACTGGGACTGTGAAACTAAATAAAAGTTAAATACATTGAAATGATGAAAAGTTGAAGCACTTTTTTAGGCTTTCATATGGGAAGCTAAACAGTGAGCAGGATTAGATGAAAAAAACACTTTAGCCTTTATTTTAGAAAAGCAAAATCAAAGACCCTGCAATTATATTTTGCTGGGTATAGGCTTTGTTGGAAAATCTTCCCTTTGTATAAGACCAAGGTCAGAACATAAGGCTCCTAAGCCTTTGATGCTGGTTTAAAAAGCAACCCCCAAGGTAGGCCACTTTTACAGGGCTCCTCCAGGTATGCTGTAGACCTGGCTGGGTCTGGATCAGAGGTAGCAGATAAATGCTCATGGAGTCAAGACGTACTGGTCACAGGTCATCAAAGCTCACAGCACAGGAGTGTTTAACTCACATCAGGACACCAACTGGAAAACATGGTCAGCACTAACCAATATCATGATCAATCATTTAACTTTCCTTCCCACCCTCCATTTATACTGTCATGATGTTAAATGGTCTTCCTTGTGGTTTTGAGTCCCTTTCTCCATCCTGGTTTCTGGCAGGGAAATGCCTGGAATCACGGTATTGTGGTAAGGGGAGAAATGGGTAATTAACAGTTTTGCAGGAACAGGAGATATTTCTGGAAAACTGAGTGTTAAAAAAAAAAGTAATGAAAACAAAAGTTACATTAGTAAATGCTTTTATGTTGCTTGTTTGGGGTTTCCTGGTAGTTACCAGTGAATACGCCTCTATGTAGGCTCTCACCTTGTATTGCATAAGAGAAAGGCCTTATTTTTGTTGTTGTTTAAATTTTATTTGTTTGTTTGTATGTACTACTTATTTTGTGATCCTATGAGTGGGGTTCAGAGGATAATTTGCAGCAGTCAGTTTGTCTCCTTCCCCTACATTGGTTTCTGGAATCGAACTTAGGATTCTTCATCTTTATCTGCTGTGTCCATCTTCGCATGCTCCTGTCCATCTCGCTGGACCACAAGCCCTTATTTTGTTCTTGCTTCATAGGCTAATGAGCTGGGGCCCAGGTAGGCACTATCTGGTCAGCTCTTCCTCCTCGGCGAGGGAAGCTTTAACTGCTTTGTTTGTTTTCTATTAAAAACGTGATTTCAAAAGCCACCCTGGGGCAGAGGATGTAGCTCATTTGGCAGAGTGCTTTGCCTAGCTCATACAACACTCTGACTTCAGGTGACATTGCAGGTGACAAGCTAGCAACAATATTAGAATCACCATATTGCAAAGGAGCCTTGAAACAGCGTTGTATAAAGATCCTATTTAAACACACCTATATCCCTGCAGTACAAAAATCTATTGCAAGTAACTTTGTCGTCCAATATGACATGAAAATATGTTTTTATGCAGTGACTGGACTGTCTTTTCAGGGAGAATTATGGAGGTTCGTGGAAGTGCTTAATGATTGGCTTCCTCCCTCCCCATCAACACTCATGGAAAAAGAGGTCAGAACCCACTTCCTACCCAAAGCACCTTTTGGAGACTACCCCAAATCCATCAGTGGCCTTTGTAACAGGGGATCCCCTTGCAAAGATAATGCAGGTCTAAAAATTCTTCATCAGGGGCTCTTCCTTCCATAGGCTAGCCTTGCTCCCCAAAAAAGCTCAACATTTCTTATAAGCTCTTGCAAGTTAGCTGTTGGGACAAGCTGGGCCAACTAACCAAGTCTCAGTGAAGGCAAACCACCTGCTCCCTGATTGGCTGCCTAGCTTTTACTCATCAGCAGGGGCAGGGGGCCTGACCTGATGCTCCTATGACAGCCTCCCTCCCCTTCCTATCAACCTCGCCCACAGCAAAAGAGCACAGCCATTGCAGGACAGCAGCCTGACAGGGGACGAGCGGAGAAGAGGTAAGGGGAGCAAAGTGAGGCTTACAAGCACCTCCAAGCAGACAGAAGATAATTCTTTTAGGCTTCTTAGAGAATATTGTCAGCCACTGAGCATGTACAAGCAGCAAGACAGACACTTTCATGCTTGTCTTTAAGATTTGCCAAACATGAGCAGTCCATCCGTTTCCCCTGGCACCATTGT